AATATATAACATCAGTGCTTGGCAATAGGCACGGGTTTCACATAAGACACCTCAAGAGAACACTCAGAGCGAGGGGACATGCACGTCCCTCTGAGCTGAGTTATTGACAGATTCAAATTTCGCGGATCAATAACTCATGAACATAACGTTGTAAAAATACAAACAACATGACTTTAAAATCATAGCAAGGTAGACAACGAGCTACAGAGTCGTTTTTATCAGAACAGTTCGATACGCGCCGTCATCCGAGCTAAACATCAATAATTGGTCACAATCTGCAGCTTGAGGAGGGAGAGGAGTGCTTAGGGACCGTCTACAAACTGCAACGGTGTCTCGCAAAAACATTTTTTGTTTTCTTCTCCATGTCCCCTAGGCGGGGGCTCCGTAGAATGCAGTTTAGTTCTGTGGGAATCGTCATTTTTAGGAGACAGGGTTGGACTTTTTTTGTATGAATTTATGTTTCATCCAATCACAGAGCTTGTTGACTTATCACGAGGTTTGTCAAAGCGGACAGGCGTCGTCACAACTATAGCTGGGGATTGTGGGTAGTGTAGTAGTCTCTTTGGTACTCCACATTTCAGAGAAAACAAGTTGTTTCTCAGAATTGAAGGGGAAAAACACAAAAGCGTTGTACACAATTTAAACCTATCAATGTCATTTAATGAACAAAGGTAACCTGGTGTTTTTGAGTTGATGAGTAGTGGAGATATCACTGTCAAATCAATCGACAGTAAGGAGAATACTTACTTCCGGGTGTACAATTCTCCGTTATCCAATGGGAATGGACGCTCACATTGCCTTTAAGAGCTGCCGACATAAATGGATGCGGTGCTTCCCTGAGTGTCAAATACCGCCGCAGATGGGAATACATTGCAATCAGTTGAAAGCTCTTTGCGTCCGTTTAAGAAGCTGAAGGAGCCTCGGCGCGTCACAACTGCACGCCACGGGACCCTGACCAAGCGTCGCTCCTGGACGTTTAGGGAGTGAGAGTGTGTTGCCTGACAAAGTACTTAACGTCTAATATATTGCATAATTTGTTTTGGGACTTGACAATCAACTTTCCTGCAATGTTAACTATGTTTAAGCACTTATTTTAACTGATATTATACATATTTGATACTGATTGACCCTGACAGACTCCAAAAGTCCGACATTATACAATCAAACAAATGAATTATACTCTTATAAGCAGTGCTTGAATTGGGCCGGTACTCACCGGTACGCAGTACCGGCACTTCCGATTTTTACCCATGTGGTACCGGCACTTCTTACTGAGTACCGGCAAGGCATCTCATGACGCATCTATGACGCGCCGCAGCGTAGACTAGAGCAGAAAATACTTCACATAACGTTAGCATTTCGAAGATGTTAGCGTGGCTTAATAATAGTGCGAAAAGAGAGCAGTTGTCGCCGGACAAGGATTCCCTCTCTCCTTTCCTGCTGAAAGATGGTGAGTGTACTCAGGGGCGAGGAGTCATTTAACCAGCCACCAGTAGGAGTCAGGCTTTACTTTCTTTTATATCCGTAAAGAAAAAGTAAATCTGTTTTCAGTTGTTTCATATGGATGTTGAGAGGTATCCATATATCTCTTAATTTTGCTCTCAAAGTGCACCAGATTGATGCATCTAACTTCAATATTTAAAAAAAAAAAATCTTCCTGGGGGAGCATGCCCCACATGTCCACTCCCCACTTATAAAAATAGCACTTTACCACTGCACCCCCTCTAATCTCAGAGTCATTTTGTTTAAGTACAGTGAGCCTTTCTAAAATATACAGTATAAAGAGACAAACCCACCAGCATTAGGATATACTATGACTTTGAGTCAAATACTTGTTTTTGGGCTGTATAAATACATTGACTTGAAACAGTTGCTGATTTAGAGTACTGGCACCTTTTTATTCCAATTCAAGCACTGCTTATAAGATGTATGTAGATAGAATAAGAAATGTGCAGAATATGTCAGTTTAATGGTGGATGTATACACACACATGGCCGTATCCACCATTGAGGTCACCGCCCCTGGCCAACTTGGGGCCCCAAACGACATTGTGAGATGAGGCCCCCCCCCAACCGACAGGAGTGCAAACATTTTTTTTGAAAACAAAGTAGGCTACTTTGCAAATATAATTCCTGTTAATTATTATTATCAACAGAGTTACTTGTTTATACAGTGAGGTCAATGGTAAATGTGCATGTATGTCGTTCAGTATGTGTTTACAGGTGATTACGTCTGTCAAATACTAGCCTCAAAAAGATTATAAAATATAATTCATGCAAATAAACTACTTCTACTAATAATCATAATCAATTCAATAATATAAATACTATATTATTTTTATTATTTTTATTATAATATAGTTGTAATATAGTCAAGACAAAACATGCTTATGACATGCTCAAAAACTGATATTTCTTAAATCTGTATTCAAATGTAGTTCCCTCTGTCAGCAATGTGTCAACAACTACACACACATTTCTATCAGTATTTCTCTGTGTTGTGGTTGACATGATGATGACTGTTAGGAGTTAAGGGGAGAGGCTGCATCACCATGAAATGTGAAAATTGACATAAAAATGAATAAAAGGGGGAAAAATGCTCCATGTTTTTTAGGCTGTAAACTTTGACTGTTATGTAAGCCAACTAGACAGACAGTTTATCACTCTTCCTCCTGTACATTAGCAGATAAAAGGCATCACATACTTGAATGAATGTTAAATAAAGAATGCTGGAAATAACTGCATCTCCATTAGCCTGTATGCTCTGCAGAGACTGCCTTCTTCATGTCGTGAATTGCAGCTGATGTTTTAATATGGCAATTGGCAATTTGACTTATACAACATTCGCAAGTTGTACATTTGACTCATACAATAACCCACCTTCGAGTGATGCTCTAGTTTCTTCAACAGTATTTTCGCCGACATCTCTTCACCTGCACTAGTGGCCGTATCAAAGCCGTGATTGGTCAGATGTCGATTCATTGCAACGGTGTTGGGTTACAGACGTGCTCCCCTTGTCACATCTCACTCTCGCGTGTCAGCGGGGGGTGCGTGGAGAACTGCGCGGAGAACTGCGCACAGCAGCTGAGGCCCTCTGGGCGGGGCCCCCTGCACAAGGCGGGGCCCCATGCAACCTGCGTGATTGGCCTGTAGGGAGGGGCGGCCCTGTGTGTATATAACAAAACTTGTGAAATAATTGCACTAAACGGGATTCTTTGTAGTACTTCCATTTACTGACGATGGGGGCGCTGCATAACTACATAGCCTTGATTAAAGCTAACAGAAGAAGACAACATGTATCAACAAACCACCGCAGCCCGTATCGGAGCAGTGATGAGGTATCTAGAGATCTGAGTCCAGCGGGCTGCTTGTGTTCCTGTTCATCAGGAAATCATATGATCAGCAGATCCTGTGTGAACGCTCTACGTTAGTCAGTGGACGTCCGACAACATGCACACTAACTTATATTGCAGCTATAGGCTACACTTTGGTTTAAATTGCGCGAATAAACTAGCTAGAGAGCTAAAGTTAATTACAGTCATCCAATGTCAGAAGGATTACCTTTTAACAAACGTTGTAATGCTTTTCTTTCATTTAAATTTGAGTAAAACATTGAAGATATAACATTGTATTGTTTTCTTTTTACATTGACTCAGATATAATGAAAAGATTAGTTAGTCGAAGCTCAGCTTTTGTAAGGAAGAGAGAAAGAGAGAGAGAGAGAGAGAGAGAGAGAGAGAGAGAGAGAGAGAGAGAGAGAGAGAGAGAGAGAGAGAGAGAGAGAGAGAGAGAGAGAGAGAGATAGAGAGAGAGAGAGAGAAAGTGATGGAAGTCAGGGAGGAACTGCAGGTACAGTCACACAAACGAATGTAGGCTTAATAACCCCATCTATCTATCTATCCATCTATCTATCCATCCATCTATCCATCTATCTATTTATCTATCTATAACTTAGTCTTCATTTACAATATAGACAATATGCATCATTTTAAAACAACATACATCTATTGCAGTAATGATGTCATCATAACATACAATTGTATAAAACACATTTTTCTTACATCTTTGTTCTCTTTTGAGAATCAAACAAAACTGATTTAAAGTAAAAAAATCTAGTTTTGAATGGTCTGCCGTGGTTCCATCCCATTTTAAAGTGCTGTTTGACACTCGGCGTAACCCTCGGTGCATTGCCACTCAAACATCCAATCACAGAGCTTGAGGACTAATCACAGGGTTTTTCAAGCAAAGCGGAGAGAATACTTACTTCCGGGTGTAAAATTCTCTAAAGCAACTACTATTAGCTGCTCTGACCCTCAGTCCTGACGGACTCCAAAAGTCCGACATTATACAATCAAACAAATAAATAAACACAAGGATAATTGTGTCTTATTGTTGAGTAAATAAAAGTGTGTGGTTTAGAAAATAATACGAAATTAGAAGGAAAAAACGATGAAACAATACAGATTTCAGTTTTCTGAGCCCCTATTCTCCCCCTAACTGACGGCAACAAAAGTCCGACATTATTCAATTAAAATAAAGAAGTAAACACAATAAGTTTGGCTTGATATTGAGTTAGAAAAAGGTTGGTAAACGCTGTGAGAATGGATCTGCGGAGAGCATTTCGCCGCGATCCCAACTCGTCTATTACCAACGTTCAGGGAGCTCTATGCAAGTCAATGGGACGCCCTGATAGTTGAAACTCGACGCTAAAGGGCCCCCCCTTGCGTTGGAAAGTGACGACAGGGACCCTGACATAACGTCAACATAGGCCGATTTGGGAGTGAGAATGTGTTGCTGTGACGAACACATTTCCTGAATTGGGATGAATACAGTTCCTCTTATCTGGTCTGATCTTTAACTGCCCTTTAAGTGAAATTGTGATGACTGTGTATCTGACTGAAGTTGCTTCTTCCTCATTATTCACTGAAAGTATGTCCTCAACCATTAAAATGTGTTATATACATACATTATTTATACATATAATATATATGTTTGATTTAGATGGTGGACCTTGGCCTGTTGCTTCATCCTGGAGCCTACTTCAGGGACCTGTGGAACATTCTGGACTTCATAGTGGTCAGTGGGGCGCTGGTGGCTTTTGCATTTTCGTAAGTTCAATGTCTCGTACCTTTTTGTTCTAAAGGTAAATGTGTACAGTTTGTAAATAGTTAATGTTGATATCTTCTATACCAGACTTACTATATATTACTAAACTTCATTTAGAAATGAAAAACATGCTCTAAGAGGGCTCTGTAACTTCCACTCAGTGGATCCAGTTCTTAGTGAACCCAAACTTTATTTGGGCCTCTTCCCAGGTTGGATGACTCAGCATTATGCAAATGTTAATGTAGTGATGTGTACACACAAGGATCAAAGTGTAGAGCTGTGTCGGTAATTCATATACCTGAAACTGTTATTTCAACCATTATAAACACTTATATTAATATTATTGTTAAATATCTTTATTCTATAATTTTACAATATCATGTCATGCCATTTTAAATGTGTATAAAACAGAATATGCTTGGACATTATCGTAGGGATTAAACTGCTATTATACATACTGTAAGCTGTCTATCTTAGTATAAATCTAATAAACACTAAACAAGAATCATACAAACAAATACAAATCCTGGAAGAGCAAGAAGTGTGTGTGTGTGTGTGTGTGTGTGTGTGTGTGTGTGTGTGTGTGTGTGTGTGTGTGTGTGTGTGTGTGTGTGTGTGTGTGTGTGTGTGTGTGTGTGTGTGTGTGTGTGTGTGTGTGTGTGTGTGTGTGTGTGTGTGTGTGTGTGTGTGTGTTTGTTTGTGTTTATTGACATGATCCTCTCCCTGTTTCTGCGCACTGTCGTTTTGAAGGAGCTTCATGGGGTAATGCCTCCTCTACCTCTCTCATCGTGCCTGTATTTGTCATTATATGTGTGTATGTATGTGAGAGAAACATACATACGCACAATCACAATTGTCAAAACAAGTAATTTCCTCCCATATTCAGTCTTACTCTTGGACATTTTTCATGGAAAAAAAAACGTATTTTTAGTGATATTGATTTTATTGAGGTAACTTATTTAGTAAACCACTCTTTCTAATCTTCCTCAAGTTATATTTGACAATTATGCTTTATGTTGTCAAAATATAATTTCAGAATATTTTCCTGTTAATAGGAACTAGGGATTGAGACTTGTTCTTCTGAGATTTCCAGCATTCCCTGAATTGAACCATGCCATGTTTTTTCAGAACACAACACACACAGCTGCATTTAATGCTGGTCCAGGCTTCTGTCAGTAGAAAGTCCTCCCACTAATGCTGGGTTTCTTTCAATGTTATGAGTGCTAAAGTGTGATTGTAGATGGAGCCAAAGAGCAAAGTCAGCTTTAGTTTCCAGATGCATCACCATCAGCTGTGAAGTTGTATTCTTCCCCAAACAGTTTAAGACATTCAGTATATGAAGTGAAATTGCTGGGTGTTTTTGCAGTTTTGTGTGTGAGACACACTCCCATCCTGTCACCATGAGATCTCACTGTTGTGACCCTCTGTGGTCCTCTGCTAAAGAGGGGCATCATCACTGTCTCCCTCCGATGGAGGTGTATTCATCAGCACTTGCCTTGCCACAGCTCTGCTCAGAATGTAATGATACCATCAATCTCAGCTTCTCCACCATGAGCTCACACAAGCAGCTGCATGAGTATCCTCAGGGAACGTCTCTGTGATCCAAGCATGCACATTACATCAACAGAAGTACATGTATGATGACCATACTGTCACATAATTTCCATTTACATGCAGTTTGCTCTACACTATTGTCTACTTGCCAGTAGTGTGAACCCGGAAATGTTGAGTACTCTAAAGTTTTATGATAGAAATGTATAGCACGGGTCCCCAGAACATAGAAACTGCTGTATACTAGCTTGCATATGTTGGGCAATTGGCATCAATAAGCATTAATTAGCATATGCAGACAATAGCTAAACAAATTCTTGGCCGATTTGGCCAATTTCCTGTTTTCTTTAAGGCATATTGAGGATGCTGAATCGTTTTTTTTTTGTGTCCCCTAAAACTTTTAAATTAACCCAAACTTAATCAAAATCAGTCCTCAGGGAGTACAAATATGGCCACTTTCTGGTTCAAACTGCCATTATTGATTCTGAAAATGTCAGAAATTGATTCAGCATCCTCAGGGCCGGCCCTTGGCATAGGCAGTATAGGCGAATCCTAAGGGTGCATCAACCTATGGGGGGTGCCAAACATTTTTATTTAAATAAAAAAAAAAAAATGTTTTATTTAAATTTCATAACAAAACAATTTCCCGATTTTGGATCAACAAAGTACATCCTATTATCTTATCTTAACAGAACTACGCCTATATTGCATACAGCGCCCGTAAACTGTGGCGCACCTGTTTAAGGCGAGACACCCCAGGTGAATAGGGTAATTTTTTTAACTTATCAGCTAGAAATTTCTCCAGTTCATTACTTACAATAAGGCAATTGTTTTTTGTATTACAAGTTTCTGAAATAGCATGTTTAAATATGCAAATTATCCATTATCTCATTAAATATGCACATATTTTAACACATTTCAGGAATCGAAATCTGAACTTTGGATAAAGCCAGGTTCAAAATTATTGTTTCATTTTGTAGTCATATTAGTATCTAAGGCTTTTACAGAAGGGATATTGGATATCTCTTTTTATCACTCCATAAATCAGAAAATACTGTCAACAGCCCTAAAATATCAATTTTCGCCATGTTTTTAGGTATACAATGTTGTATAATTCAGGCTATGAATGATATATGAACAAACCCTTCTGTAAAAGCCTTCATAATATTGATAGGAATGTAACTGGAAGGTTTTGTGTATGTACGTGCTACTGAAGTTGCAATTTCGAACTCAGAGTAGGAGAAAAAACTCATTTTGAGAAAATGACCTTTAAAGATAGCTGTGAGGGCTAGCTAAACCCTCCTGTTCTTTGGATGATAGCTTGCGCCTCGACGCACTCCGTGAAGGTATTTCATGTTCGGGGTCATTTGTTTTTTGTATAACCTTGCTTCGTGCAAGTGACAATTGTTGTCGTCTTCTCTGTGAACGTTTTTTTCGCCGTTCTTTTGCCATTTTGAGATTTCAATTTCTAGCGGAAAGCTAACCAGGAAGTGTTTTAGCAGACCACGTGACGCATCTGAACGAATCACGTTGTCTGAAATTGACACCAGCCAATGAGATTTCGTTTCTTGGTTTAAGATCCCTTTGTGCTATCACGATTGGTTGCTGATACAAAGGAAATGACCATATTTGGATCTGATTAGATTGTGCAGGAGAGACGGCGCTTTCTAACGATATCTCTGTTGACATGGTGCAAACAGCGGTCGCGGTACTTTATGTTACGTTAGAATGCTAACTTTTGGTGAATTTAGGAGAAATCTACAGACGAAAATAGACTAACTATAGTAACATAAACACTTAAATGTGTATTTTGTACGTTTTCCTTCCAAAAGCCTGAAAGAAAACATGTTATAGAATCAAAATAGCACAAAATCTCAAAATTGACCAGTACTTCAAAAACGATATTTTTGCCTGCCGTGTCTCGCCTTAATGTGGAAACACAATGTTCAATATGACATGGATAGATATTATGAACTAAATGCTAAATAGCTTACAATCAACATCAGTAACTTAGTAACTGTGATGAAACCTACATTGACGTTATATTGTCCCATAAATAATTTATAAATTATATAATTGTCCTTTTAAGTTGTTATGCCACTGATATAATGTTAATATATGTATAATATAATACAATGTGTGTGTTTAAGGGCCTTATTCAAGATCCAGCTCCGAACCGGCCCTGAAACGTTGGGTTACGTATTGTAACCCTTGTTCTATTAGCACAGGCTCCGCCCTCTACTGGACTCTATGGGTACTACCTTACCCTGCGAGCATTCTCCCACTGAGACTTCTATAGACGTAGCCGGCCGTGGGCGGGCCTACCTGAATGTACGTGCATCACACCGTATAAAAGGAGGCCTCGCCTCCTGACTATCATCCTACAGCTCTCTTCTAGCTGCCTGGATAGACTGAATAACACTGTCAGACAATCCACCCTGTCTCAGCCTGTCCCTCTCAGGAGCCAAGCCTGGAGAGGTTGGCCGAGAGTGGGTAACGCCCCTATTGCACCTGCCTCTTGAGACATCGCCCCCCAGAACTGGGGAACCGCCCAGGGCTGGCCCACCTTCATCTGTGTCATCTCTGAGTACCATGGCGCCCCGACGCGGTCCGGAGCCACTAGGATGACTGACAGGCATTCTCGCCTCACTCTCCCCAGGAGAGGGAGAATGAGACGCAGTGGTGGAAAGGCGTATTGCAGCTTCCTTGGCCATGGCTCGTGTGCAAACGCGTCCACCCCCAAGGGCGGGTCGTCGCCCAGGGCCATGGAGAACCACAGGGCACAGTGGTTGTTGCGCCGGCTGGCGAAAAGGTCCACTTCCGCTCTCCCGAACTGGGCCCAGATCTGCTTCACCACCTCCGGGTGAAGCACCCACTCGCCTGGCAGGGGGCCGCCCCTCAACATGAGGTCGGCCCCGCTGTTCTCCAGTCCCGGGATATGGAGGGCTCTCAGGGCTAACACCACCTCTGAAGCCCATAACCACAGCCTCTCCACTGTGGTCAACAAGGCGGCGGAGCGGACTCCGCCCTGCCTGTTGATATAAGCCACTGTGGTGCTGTTGTCGCTCCTGACCATTACATGTCTCCCTTGAATTAGGGGCATGAAATGCTGGAGGACTAACACTACCGCCCGTAGCTCTAGGAGGTTGCTGTCGCCCCCTGTCGCAGCCTGTGAACCGCCCGGAGAAGGGACGCAATTCTGCTCTCTGACAGGGTGGCGCGTGACGCCCCTGCATCGAGCACCACACCCAACTACAACGCCTGTTGGTGAGGTATGGGGGTGCTCATTTTCAATTGAACGTAAACCCTAATTTGGTTGGTGTATGATCAATTGTGCTGTGCAAAACATTGCCTGTTCCCGGGACCCAGCCATGACTATGAGGTTGTCTAGTAAAAGAAAACTCATGCCGTGGGCGCGCAGCGGTTGAAGCGCTCTTGCCACACATTTGCTGAATGTGCGTGGGGATAGGGAATAGCCGAACGGCAGCCTGTTGTACTTGTAGGGCGTAGGCTATCCCCTGGAAGGCAAAACGCAGACACTTTCTGTGCTCTGGAGCAATTTCTACATGAAAGTACGCATCTTTCAGGTCGATGGTGGTGAACCAATCGCCTGGCAACACAAGCCCCAGTAACTGTTTCATAGTTAACATGCGCAATTTCCTGCAGGAAATGTGGCGATTCAGGCCGCGGAGATCTAGGATAGGTCTGAATTCCCCTGTCTTCCTGAGAACCAGGAAGTACATGGAATAAATACCCTTTTCACAGCCTGTTTCTGCACCAGAGCCTGAATCTCTGCTGAGAAGAAACACATCTCCTCCTGGGAGGACAGATTTACCTCTCGCATGCCCATAAAAAGAGGTAGGTGTGGGACACCAACAAGACAGTGGTCCATGTGATACAGTGGTACAGTGTATAGACATATGGTACAGTGGGACGCTGCAAAACTGGAGTGAATGGCCCCGTTTCAGCGTCCTGTCCCTCCACCTTGTTAGCACACAGCTGAGTTTCCATTCCCCAGAACATTGTGTTAATGGACAGGCCCTGAGCTGTGGGGCCGCAGCTATGAAGCTGTGATACTCTCTGGTGACCCGTTCTGCCGCAAAACTCCCCGTGAAGGGAAGATTTGCCCATGGAGGGTTGACACAGAAAGGGCCGATTATTTACTGAGGACCTTGAACGCACCGCTGCGCGCTCTTGTGTGAGCGCGCGCTCCACCCTAATGCTGTTCTCACCACTACGGTAAACAGCATTAATCGGAGTCTTTATAGGCGTAGTGTGTTTTACTAAGGTCCCTGAACGCACCGCCACGCGCTCTTGTGAGTGCGGGCTCCGCCATAATGCAGCCTTTACCACTACGGTAAACTGCATTGGAGTCTTTGCTCTAGGCGTAGTGTGTTCTCTGACAGTAATACGTCGGCCATAATGTCCCTGTACCCGCATAGTGCTCTCCTTTAGATAGCACTCACTGCGGTTCATCCCTCTCATAGATAGATAGATAGATAGATAGATAGATTCAACTTATTGTCATTACACAGTACAGGTACCATGTAACGAAACGGTTTCTCTGCATTTGACCCATCCTAGTGTTAGGAGCAGTGGGCTGCCATTATGTACGGCGCCCGGGGAGCAGTGTTAGGAAACGGTGCCTTGCTCAGGGACACCTCGGTAGCACTTGGTCTTTCCGGGACTTGAACTGGTGACCTTCCAGTTGCCAAGCCAAGTCCCAATGGACTTCGCCACCACCGCCCTCATCTGCGCATGCCCACTAGCCACCTCCTTTACAGGAGCTACAGCTGGGGCAGCGAATGGGGAATTTGTATGGTTAACATTGTGTGTAAGTGTAGCCTTGTGGAAACAAAAGACACTTAGATTTGGATACAGATCAACCTCATTCTTATTAGAAAACGTAGTGATCTGTGCATTATACAGGGAGGAGGCGGGATTCGCCCCCTCGTCCCGGGTGGAGAGATTTTCTCCATCCGCCAGTCAGATCCGTAAAGACGGAAAGCCCGTCTCCGTGAGTGCCGGCACGCCGGTTCCACGGGGTGGGCCGGAGAGGTGGAGGGCGCCACGGGCATGGGATCTTCGTGCCGGCACCTCTCTCTTCGTCTCACCTCTCTACTGAGGTATTTGAACGCACCGTGGTCCGCCCTCGAAACGGACATTATGGGGAAAAGTGTAATTGTGGAGAGAAATGACTCTTACTCTGGGATAAATGCAATAGTCTTTACTGAATGCATTTTCCCCACACACACATACCTCACTCCAGAACTAGAGTTTAAAAACGTAAACCACCGTTCTCCTGCGGGGGTCCCTGAACGCACCCACGTATTAACGCTGTATTTCCCATTGCAACGGTGAAATGCATTAATCGGAGCTATTATACCAGGCAAGGTGTGTTTTCTGACAACAGCACGCCGGCAATAGCGTCTCTTGAACCCGCACAGTGCTTTGACAGCACTCGGTGTATTCCACTCACGTGCACACGCCCACCTGCTGGCTCCCTATACTGGGGTTTACAGCAGGGGCGGGGAGTGTAGGACAGTGTTTCTTCCTCTGGGGATGGGCAAGAAGCAGCCACGCTGCGACTACTCCTCATCCCGTGAGCAAGGAGATCGATCCAAAGAGCCCTTCCGTAAACACGGGGGCTCCCAGGAGATCAACACGATCCTCTTTGGCAAGTGCCACGCGGCGTGATATCCCAGGGACATCACACGGCGGGCAGCGGCGGCGGCCTGTGATGAAGTAGGGTCGACCCTATATCATGTGAAGGCACCGGTCCCCGGGGGAACCGGGCCTGGGGCAAGGCCCGTGGATCAAGCTATTTATTCGGCCTTGCGGCCCAATATTCACTCTGACCTGGTGAGACGGGGGCATCTCTAGCAATGAGTGAGTAGCCCACACACCCGCCGCCATGATCATCACCCAGGGAGAGTACAGCCCTGGGCGGTGGACTTCCATGGACGCCAGACCCGGAAGGAATGGCGAACGTGAATGGCACCGCCTCGGCCATATCCTGGTTCCCCAAACACTCGAAGCAAAGGTGGTGGGGATCGGCGCTCGCTATTTCAGCCAGGGCACGAAGGACAGGCCCGGGTCTCTAGCAGTGGCGACTCCCTGGAGGTATGATAACTCTTTCTTCTTCTTTCAAACGTCTCAGTCTCTCGTGGAATCACTTCCGCTGCTGAAGAGAAAAGGATGATAGTCAGGAGGCGAGGCCTCCTTTTATACGGTGTGATGCACGCGCATTCAGGTAGGCCCACCCAAGGCCGGCTACGTCTATAGAAGTCTCAGTGGGAGAATGCTTGCAGGGTAAGGTAGTACCCATAGAGTCCAGTAGAGGGCGGAGCCTGTGAGAGATATAACACCGTTGGTGTGAATGAGGTAATAGAGTAAGTCAAGGCTCCGTAGAAATCTTCTTTAAAGGTCAAAAGTGAGCATATTATTAACAAACAGTAGTTTTTGGAATTTTACAGATAAAACATTTGAAAAGTACTAGGTGAGTTTAACAGGAATGGCAACAGTAACTAACTAAAAGGGGGGAGGGGGAAATTCAACCAATCACAAAACGAACTTGTTATGATAAGTGCATTCTTAATTGATGAAATTGACCTGCCGTTATCTTTCAGATTGTGAAATTATGCAGGATGAAATATAATTTCGTATTAACGGGCCTAGTGTTTTAAACTACTTAAACAAATGTATTGAATGGTTCTTATTTTAATTGTATTAATAATTCTCTATTAACACTATTTTTGGAATTAAACGTAGCTCCGTAGCTATTATGTTTTAAGACATTAAGTCACACATCTCCAGTAGGTTAAATCAAACTCAAATTATTCTCACAGGCTGTTTTGACAGTATTTGATAGACAGCTGTCAATCACTCATCATGCATGTCCCTGCAGCTCACTTTTCCTGCAGTCTATTTGTCCCCCTGCCTGTGTGAGGGACAGAGAATCACATCACATCAGAACCCAATCGGTAAATCATCCTCTCACTGGAATCACATTTGCTGCTGCAAACTGCACTACTGCTACTGATTATTATCAACTTCAGATGCTAGTTATAACCAGGCGTTCAAGGATCACTTTTTAGTATAAATTATTTAGGCTTTGGTTACGGACATTGTATCAGCATGCAGATAAGAGAACAGAAGTTCCATAATCACAGCTTTGATTTGTGTTGCAATGTTAATGTCAGTTGTCTGCTAGCAACTTAAACATTTAAAATTGGATGTTTTTATCAGTAAGTATGGTGTTGTAATTTGATGCAAACATGTGCTTTATTCTGTTTGTGTGTGTGAAACATCCATAAATGTGCTGTACCTTGTTTTACCACTGTTTTCCCCCAAGTAGATCGCAACAAGGTGTTACCAGGTGGGGAACCTCCCTTTCCACCCTGACACGCCCCACCCCACACCCATCCTGTACCCATTCCCTACCCTTTTCCCTGAATCCATCAATGTATTTTTGTATTATAATTGTTGACTGAGAAACGCCTAAGAGGAAGTGTAACCTGATGTTTAAGAGTGTGACTAGCCTTCAGTGCTGCCACTGCTGCCACACTGACTGATAATGAAGCATCACAGCCACACAGAGAAGGTCATGTTATGAACTTGTTGCCTAAGGTCTTAAGTTAAACTAAAGATTAAACAGTGAAACAGTCTCCTTTTCCAACTTATAATTGATATCTACAGTTTGTTTTGGTCCAACGTTGATCACAAGTTAATACTTAACTGCTCATGGCATCATTCTCATTAATGGATAACATTGCTTAATGTACCTGGGTGGCTTGCCCAAGTAAAGTCATTTGGCATATGAGAATAAAGGCAGACTTTATACACATCTTACACATACTTATTTTGTAATGCAATTGGATTGCTGACTAACACATGCATGCTAATGAAGGTAACCATAGAGCAGTATTGAAAACGTTTTAAAACTGATTTGTTCATTCAACAAAAGTATCTGATCTGAGCTAGATGTCCTTATCATTTGAACCTTCAGTCACCTTTAAGTGTCTGTCTTTTGTCAAATGTTTCATGTAAGGAGTCCAATCTCGCATCATGATCTGACTCAAACTAATCTCAAACTATCTGTTAGTGTCTGGTCTAACTGACCTATGTGCATCAGAGCATGGAAGTTGATGCATGTGGTTAAGATGGAGTAAAGGGATGTCATAAGGATAAATGACAAGAAAGAAGCTCCATCACAACATCAGACAGATGTCAGGCTGTTTTAGGGTATATGGAAGTATCTGAAGGGAGCTCAGAGTGGTGCAGCTGATCCTTTATGTGTAAGGAAGAGTTGAGGTAGTTCAAGCATGTGAGAGGGGCGTCTCCTCTGTGATATGTTTCAGTCACGTCCAACTGGTCGGAGACCCTAGGTTAGATGTATACCATGCAAGAAGGATAATATATTTAATCTGGCTTGGGAATGCCTACAGATCCTCCAGGAGCAGCTGGAAGACATGCATGCATGCTGCCAATGCAATCTGAGCCAAGAAATATTTCATTTTGGTTAAAGAAAAAGTTCTCAGTGAGGAAGAAGCTCAAACTCAATTTTATCATCATGTTGATAGTGTCTTCGGCTAGGCAAACCAGTATGAACCCAAAAGCACGACTCGAAAAACAAAGTACAAAAGAAAGTCTTTACTGAAAAAAGTGGCACTGTGAGCTCTCCGTAGAGAGAAAAGGTTAACATACACTGAACAAAAATATAAATGCAACACTTTTGTTTTTGCTCCCATTTTTCATGAGATGAACTCAAAGATCTAAAACATTTTCTATATACACAAAATAACCATTTCTCTCAAATATTGTTCAAAAATCTGCAAAAATCTGTGATAGTGAGCACTTCTCCTTTGCCGAGATAATCCATCCCACCTCACAGGTGTGGCATATCAAGATGCTGATTAGACAGCATGATTATTGCACAGGTGTGCCTTAGGCTGGCCACAATAAAAGGCCACTCTGAAATGTTCAGTTTTATCACACAGCACAATGCCACAGATGTCGCAATTGGCATGCTGACAGCAGGAATGTCCACCAGAGCTGTTGCCCGTGAATTGAATGTTCATTTCTCTACCATAAGCCGTCTCCAAAGGCGTTTCAGAGAATTTGGCGGTACATCCAACCGGCCTCACAACCGCAGACCACGTGTAACCACACCAGCCCAGGACCTCCACATCCAGCATGTTCACCTCCAAGATCGTCTGAGACCAGCCACTCGGACAGCTGCTGCAACAATCGGTTTGCATAACCAAAGAATTTCTGCACAAACTGTCAGAAACCGTCTCATGGAAGCTCATCTGCATGCTCGTCGTCCTCATCGGGGTCTCGACCTGACTCCGGTTCGTCGTCGTAACCGACTTGAGTGGGCAAATGCTCACATTCGATGGCGTCTGGCACGTTGGAGAGGTGTTCTCTTCACGGATGAATCCCGGTTTTCACTGTTCAGGGCAGATGGCAGACAGTGTGTGTGGCGTCGTGTGGGTGAGCGGTTTTCTGATGTCAATGTTGTGAATCGAGTGGCCCATGGTGGTGGTGGGGTTATGGTATGGACGACGAACACAGGTGCATTTTATTGATGGCATTGTGAATGCACAGAGATACCGTGACGAGATCCTGAGGCCCATTGTTGTGCCATTCATCCACGACCATCACCTCATGTTGCAGCATGATAATGCACGGCCCCATGTTGCAAGGATCTGTACACAATTCCTGGAGGCTGAAAACATCCCAGTTCTTGCATGGCCAGCATACTCACCGGACATGTCACCCATTGAGCATGTTTGGGATGCTCTGGATCGGCGTATACGACAGCGTGTTCCAGTTCCTGCCAATATCCAGCAACTTGGCACAGCCATTGAAGAGGAGTGGACCAACATTCCACAGGCCACAATCAACAACCTGATCAACTCTATGCGAAGGAGATGTGTTGCACTGCGTGAGGCAAATGGTGGTCACACCAGATACTGACTGGTTTTCGGACCCCCCCAGACCCCCCCAATAAAGCAAAACTGCACGTTTCAGAGTGGCCTTTTATTGCAATAATCATGCTGTCTAATCAGCATCTTGATATGCCACACCTGTGAGGTGGGATGGATTATCTCAGATCTTTTCAGATTTGTGAACAATATATGAGAGAAATGGTTATTTTCTGTATATAGAAAATATTTTAGATCTTTGAGTTTATCTCATGAAAAATGGGAGCAAAAACAAAAGTGTTGCATTTTTATTTTTGTTCAGTGTAGTATCAAAAATGCAAAGGATAAAGTAAATTCCAAAACTCGGTTCTTAGCTCTTAGCAGAAAAAACATGGACTTCACGCTGGCAGTCAGGCACATACGAACTGGCAACAAGACAAGGGAGACATAATCTATATATAGGCAGGCTAAGGGGGAACAGGTGCAGACAATTAGGGCGGAGTCGACAATCACAGTGGAGGGAAAACACACAAAGGGAGGAAGTGAGGTAATCTGCAACAAGAAGGAAAGGTTACTACAAAATAAAACAGGATACAAGACTGAACTAAAAACATTAACTTAACAGATTTTACGAGACATAACAGATAGGGTGTAAATACACTAAATATTGTGTTGTGGTCAAATGAAAGTACTGTGGTAGAGTATAAATAACCTGATTTAAAACAATAAAAACATACACAGAGTTATGCTCCATATCTGAGGTTACCTACTGTAACCCAGCTTCTATGAGTATTGGCGCAGCCCTCTAAGGCTATCGCTATTGGGTTTACCCTTCTGCGCCCCCGCGCAGTACTGAAAACACTTGTAGTCCACGCCCACCCGCTAGGTGGGCCCCACCCGCTAGGTGGGCCCCACCCTCGGGCCTCCTTCCGGTATAAATAGGGAGGTTGCCCAGCGATCTGCTCCCATACAATATAACTTTTCTTCAGCTATTCGTAGAGCCAGTGGTGCCCAGCGCTTAGAGGGCTGCGCCAATACTCATAGAAGCTGGGTTTCAGTAGGTAACCTCAGTTCTATTTCGTATATGGCTTCGCCCTCTAAGGCTATCGCTATTGGGTTAAGGGCGAAGCATAATAATAATAATTCCTTACATTTATTATAGCGCTTTTTCAATGACTCAAAGCGCTTTACATATACACACATTACACATATATCATACATGCAATGGTCAGATACTGTGGACAATACCCACAGGAGCAAGTTCAGGTGAAGTGTCTTGCCCAAGGACACACCGGCTTTACAGACGCAGCAGCGGCGGGTTTCACCCCTTGATCTGATGATCATTGCACAGCGCACTGCGCCACACCGTCCATCTTCACGCCTCGAGGTCATCGAGGCGCTTTTACAAGTACACATTAGTATCATACATGTACTGTGGACATTACCCACAGGAGAAAATCCGGGTGAAGTGTCTTGTCCAAGGACACAACGGCCTGACGCAGTGGCGGCAGGAGCGGGTTTCGAACTGGAGTTCCCCAGCACTCCCCCCTTGATCTGATGATCGGATGCACAGACCACTGCGCCACCCGCATGATGTAGTCTGCGCCCCACTGGGTCCGTCCAGCACTAGAAGCACAGACATACACAGACATACCTGCTTAATAACACCCCCCTGCCTGTTGTGCCATGCGTAATGGCACATCCCCGTCACTGGAGCAAACATACCTGTTTTCCTGACGGGGTGAAGGCTGGGAACAATACATACCGACCGCTGTGAGAAAGTAGAGACGAAGGTCCCACCTTGTCCTGCGATCATAGAGGGGGAACAGCCGCTCTCTCCGTGTCAGCCAGGTAGGAGAGCTCTCAGCTGGATCCCTGACGTCACTCACTCTGACCAGGCACTCCGTACGAAGTGTGTCAGAGGAAGGGGAACGTCCCTCTCCTACAAGGGGAAAAAGGGCCGATCTCTGTGTGCCGCGAGGCAGGAGAGAGGCGCACAGCTGGATCCCTGACGTCACTCACTCTGACAGGACACCCAGTACAGGGCGTGTCAGAGAGGAAAGGGAGACATCCCTCAAATACAATTGAATAAATGAACAGGGGGAAGACCAAGATGCAGCCGTGCAAATATCTTCCACTGACATTCCTCCGCGCAACACCGAGGAGGAGGAAATTCCTCTGGTTGAGTGCGCTTTGATATTCTCCGGGGGCTCCACCCCAGAGGAGACATATGCCTGTGACACAGCCTCACACAGCCAGTGTGACAGCCGTTGTGTAGACAGAGGTTGCCCGATCGAGCGCTCTCTGTAGTGCACAAACAGGCGCTGAGAACGGCGCAATGCCGCCGTGCGCGCCACATAGCAGACAGCGCGTGCACCGGGCAGAGGAGATGAGATGTTTCTTCTTCCTCCGACCTGTAAGGAGGGGGGAAGAAGCTAGCCAGGGTGATCACTCTTGACCTAAAAGAGTTGTGATGACCTTATAGGCATGAAGCCGGGTTAGGGCGTAAAACAGCTGAACTGCATCTCTATGGATCCGGAGACATGACGGAGCCACCGGGAGAGCAGACAGATCACCCTTTCCTCTGATAGAGCCAAAAGCAGTACTACTTTGGCTGAATACAGTTAAGGGGAACCTGATCAGGTTCAAATGGGGTTTTTCTTTAGTGCGCGTAACACCAAAGCCAAATCCCACTGAGGCGCCAGTGTGCGTGACACCGGTCTGAGTCTCCATACTCCTCGCATAGCACGGCTGCTGCGTTCTGCGAGCCCCTCGGTTAAATTCGCCGGAAATAACACTGTTCCTGGGATAACGGGAGTGTTTCTTGCATCCCATGGAACTGCTGGGGGGAGAGGCTTCTCTGTGATGTGCCGTAATGGTCGTCATGGTGACGTGCCACGCCCTCGCCGCTGCTGCCCGTGACAACACATCCTCACTCCCAGGTCGGCCTATGTTGACGTTATGTCAAGTCCCCTGTCGGCTTTTTCCAATGCAAGGGGGGGGCCCCCTTAGCCTTAGCGTCCATTTTCAACGCAAGGGGGGGGCCCTTAGCGTCCATTTTCAGCTTTCCGGGATATCCATATGCTTCTATGGACGCTCATGGAAGCACGGCATTCGTTTGTGTCGGCTGCCCTTGAAGGCAATGTGAGCGTCCATTCTCATTGGATAACGGATAATTGTACACCCGGAAGTAAGTATTCCCCTTACTGTCGATTGATTTTACAGTGATATCTGCACTACTCATCGACTAAAAAACACCAGATTATCCTTGTTAATTACACAACATTGATTGGTTTAAATTGTGTGCAATGCTTTTGTATTTTTCCCCTTCGATTCGGAGAAACAAATGTTTGTCTGTGTATGTCCAGGGAATAGCCGAACGACAGACGGTTGTACTGGTACGCTATTCCCTGGAATGAAAACCGCAGGAATTTCCTGTGTTGCGGAATGATGGGTACATGGAAGTATGCATCCTTAGGTCTATAGAGGTGAACCAATCTCCCTGGTGAACACACTCTAGCACCTTTTTGACCGTCAGCATGTGAAAAGGCCTTTTCATTATTGCCTTGTTGAAAACTGACAGGTCAAGGATGGGTCTCATTCCCCCTGTCTTTTTCGGGATAAGAAAATAGCGGGAGTAATACCCCTGATTTTCTTCCTCCTGGGGAACCCTGGAAATAGCCTCTTTCAACAGGAGTTCCCGTAGCTCTGCTTGGAGCGCAAGACACTGTTCACGGGATGTTAGGCATGTCACCTGTATCCCGTTGAACTGTGGGGGGGGGAGGCGAACTGCAGGGTGTACCCTGTTGATCAGCCTGTGCATCCATCCGTCCATCAAACACATGCGCTGCCACGCCGAGAAACACTCTGACAGCGGGCGCGCATGCTCGAGATGTGTTGTGGTTGTCATGACGACGAGCCACGCCAGAGCCCTCGCCGCCGCTGCCCGTGAGGCAACCCAAGGTGGGCCTAGAGCGAAAGGGCTGTGCGGAGGCCTCCACACGCTGCGTATCACTCCGCCTCGCCTCATGAGACGTGTACACGCTCAGAGGATGGATGGAGGTGTGTGCAGTAATATCCACATGAGGCGTTAACACTGCGCTCCTGGGCTTATTATGACCGTGTATAGGTGGCGTATCTCGGACAGAAGAATGCCGCGAGGTCTGTGGTTTAATAACCGAAGAGTCATAACCACCAGAACCCTGCAGCGAACCATGCTGCCTACTAATCACCAGATTGAAGGCAGCTGGTGTAATTACTGTGCTCCGCAGCTTATTAATCGATAGATTAAATAGCGCAGGCTTTTGTACCGAACCCGGCTGGCTATTAACCGATAGGTCATGGCAGCTGGCTCACCGGCCAGAGTGGGGGATATGTGAAACACATTTGAAACTGATGACTCAGCCAACATGTTGGAAAATAAGCTTCTTTTTATTTTCCTCACACTCCCTCCCAAACCGTCAAGGCCGCTCTGTCTCCTCGGCGGCTCTCATGGAGCAGACGCCGAACGGGAGTATCTCACTCCCTTTTTACCCCCCTCTGGTGGGGGCCCGTAGGTGCGGGACGGTGCCCTGGAGGTGTGGGCCGGTGCCCCGGCCGCTGCTGACGGACGATTCTGACGCCTCGGCTGCTTCTGTCCGTCTGCCGCTGTGGCCGGGTTGGCTGCTGCTGCTGCCGCTGGTGTCGCTGCTGCTTCATCGCTGGCTGGAGCCAGCCGACGTGCTGGCGGATGTCCTCCGCCTGCTCCGATGCCGCCTTCATGGAATCAACCATGGCCAGGAACTGGGGCCCGAACAGCCCGTCCGAGCTGATCGGAGCGTCCAGTAAAACCTTCCTGGCTGGCTCTGTGACCGCTGCCTGCTGTAACCAGAGGTGACGCTGGATCTGTGTCATCCAGGCTGCTAATCCTCGCCTGGGACACCGCCAAGGCTGCGCACAGCGAGAGCGCCGTGCTGGCCGCCTTAGCTATCTCCTCCGCCTCCTCTGGAGCCACAGTGGTGTGTTCTGGATGAGTTCCTGCCCACCCCAGACGTCTTCCTCACCCGCAGCAGCTAGAGCGTCCGCCCTTCGCTTCCTGTCGGATGAAGGAAGACACACACAGTGAGGACATGCGACCTGCTGGCTGAGAGCCGCGTCCGCGTGCTCTGGCCCCAGACAGGCTGTGCATATCGGATGCAAATCGTAGCTCATAATATAGCCCGTATTGCACGAAGGGCACATACGGACACACTCTTTATTGCTCATGATGTTGCTTTTCTCGTGCTTCAGTAAACTGCTGGTTGCTGAAGAAAAGAGGGAGCAGATCGCCGGGCAACCTCCCTATTTATACCGGAAGGAGGCCCGAGGGTGGGGCCCACCTAGCGGGTGGGCGTGGACTACAAGTGTTTTCAGTACTGCGCGGGGGCGCAGAAGGGTAAACCCAATAGCGATAGCCTTAGAGGGCGAAGCCATATACGAAATAGAACTAACTTTTCCAATATTTCCCATCTTCTCTGTACACAAGGTAACAACAGAACCACACAGTTCATGAATGTATTGTATTCCTGGTGAGGGAGGGCAGGCTTCAAACTAACCTAAATGTTTTCTTTCTTTTTTTCTGGCAATTGGAAAGGGTTTTTTCAAACACCACACAGGATATTTCTGTCTATCCATGACAAAAAAAGTGTTAACTCAGAGAGAAGTAACTCTAACCCATTTCCTTGGCGCTGTGTAGGTGTGGTTTGATCAGATTCAATAGTGGTTACCCCCAAATCAGACATTGATTTAAATAATGCTGAAATCTGATGGAGTCAATGGAGATATCTCAGATTGATTTAGCATCTGGGCCCAGCCCACTCAAACCAATAAAAGGAGCGCAAACTTAAACATAAAACACAGAAATGTGACGTTAAATAAGCAACTGTTGGCAGGAAAACTGTTTTCTACATGTAGGATCACTCCTGGTAACAAGCTTATTGAAATGATAGGACAAATACACTTTTGGTATTGTAGGGACTTTGACAGGATTGACATAAAGCCTGAGTGTTAGCATGTCTTAGTAAAAATAAAATAAATATTAGACAGATAGTTGGAGAAATGGTAAGGTGACAGCTCTTGAGAAAGAAAACACTAACTGTAGTGGAACTTCAAAAGGAATAAAGAAACATGCCAATGAATTGATGAATTGCATGAGATTTCATACTTGTTCATGTAAACCAGGATTACATGACACCCACAGTGGAGTTGTTAGAAGATGCATGTGTGAGGTTTGTATTGTTAAGTGTGTACTGCTCAGGAACAATGTGACAACAAATCACACATACTGCACAGCGTGTCTTTAAGATGTCTTTCCTCTAATATTCATTCAAGTGAATATAGTAATATATTTTAACCTCATCTTTAATTTCTTGTTTTGTTTTGGAGACACCATCAAACAGTCTCATTCAGATTTGTAAGTCTTCTCTTACACAACGGTCTAGAAACAAACTGCGGCTAGTCCTTCCGTCACTGCAAACTAAATAAAGAGTACACATAATGTTAAAGTTGTTGTTTGTATAACTGTGTTTTCCTTCCACAGGGGGACCAAAGGAAAAGACATCAGCACCATCAAGTCACTGAGAGTTCTCCGAGTGCTCAGGCCTCTCAAGACCATCAAACGTCTGCCGAAACTCAAGGTTCTGCTGCAGTGCTGACTTTGGTTTATTTTGATATTTTAACCGGGTTAGCAGGGCTTTGATAAAGAGAAGGCATTTTGTCTACAGCAGGCTGCTGCTGTTCTTAGCAAAGAGGAGACAATTGTGTGAAAGGCAAACAACAGAGTAGCAGTGCCTGCACAACACTGGATGTATATGTAATAATAATGAGAAAGTCCTGTATATTCAGAAATGATGTTCTACCTTGTCTCCTAATCAAATAGTGTGTTTGCTTCTGTGTGTCCTCAGGCGGTGTTCGACTGTGTAGTCAATTCTTTGAAGAACGTGCTGAACATCCTCATTGTTTACATCCTCTTCATGTTCATCTTTGCCGTCATCGCAGTTCAACTGTTCAAAGGGAAATTCTTCTTCTGCACAGACGAGTCCAAGGGCCTGGAGAAAGACTGCAAGTCGGTCTACAATCCCCTCCTCTTCATTCCTTATCTCAGAAACATTGAAATTGTCAACATTGTAGCATTTGTGCTGACCCTGTTCCTTACTAACCCCACTCAGCGTTATTTATGACTTTATGTCTTCCAGAGGACAGTTCCTGGACTATGACACAGAGGAGGTGGTGGCGATGCCCAGGGAGTGGAGGAAGTACGAGTTCCATTATGACAATGTGCTGTGGGCCTTCCTGACCCTCTTCACTGTCTCCACTGGGGAGGGCTGGCCAACGTAGGTGCAGCTCGATTAATTCCTTTAGGTTGACGCTTTGCATAGGCGGCGCGTGAGACTCAGGTTTGGGAAGGCTAAATAACTTTTTTTTACCTGATGCTGCCCACCTCTGGCGTCTATAGAAAAGAGATCAACTCATTGAAAGCACCGCCTGCTGACCAATCAGAGCTCAGTGTGCGGAGTTTAAAACTATCAAGTCATATTACAGGATAAAGGAAATACAGTTTAAACAGTGTCGCACTTATCATTCATATCACATTCAATCAGATCATCGATCATATAATATCACAATATTTCCTTATCTGAGTCAGCTTCTCAAGCCGTATCTGGCCGTGCAACACTTACAGTGTCATTACGTTGACGAAACACTCGAGTCAAATGTAATTAAAGTCAGATCCACTAGTGTCGATGGGGCAGTGATATCATAAAACTGTTGTACGCTTTCAAACACTGTAGTTATTTTTTAACCAGTTGTTCTGTATTCTCCTTGCATGTGCAACTATGTGGCTTGTATCCTATATGTTTAAGTCATGGATGGTTAAAGTTCATATTTGTAATATTAGTTTACTTTTCATTAATGAAGTATGACGCTGCACCGTCAGTACACTTGTCCCTGTTTGTGATTGGTCAAATGTTGCTAACCCCGCCCCTTTCACGTGAATGCGCTCTCAGCTGGAGAGAGAAACCCTGGCTTGATTTACCGAGTTGATAACCAGCGTCATAGGACCGCTTAGCGAGATCTCGTTTGTTTGGGTTAGTTAAGATAACTCAAACATATCCAGGGTCTGTTGAACTGGCTTCGTAGTGCACAGGGCACAGGTGGCTGCATAGAAGCGCAAATGTCAAAGACACAAACTATACATTATATTTTTATTTTACCAGGATGCAGTGACAAAAATATTTGGGAAGGCTTAGCCTTCCCTAGCCTACAGTACCCGCCGCCCCTGACGCTTTGTCTTCTCCCAGATTATCTAACCCTAACCCTCTTCTCGTTGTTTACTCGTGTCTGCCAATTTTGATTCAATAAAAACAAATTGGTTACTGACAAGCTGTTCTTCTTCTCCCTCTGGACTGAGGGCAGACTGGCTCTAGAGAGACTCGCTGTCGCCTCTAGAGGACACGTGGTGTTACACACAGGACGGGCTAGCATGTTAAATCCAGTAGACTTCTCTAGACCACAATACATAGACGTCTATTTCGTAAAACTGTAACCTCTTCACATGTTGATAATGTTAATTTATTTTGTGAATATTTTAACTTTAATTCTGGACATATCTTACATATTGCCTTTTAACCCTGTAAGGCCCCTGTTTGTAATTTTCCAACATTACTTTAAGCTATCCTAAAAAAGTCAGAAAATGTTTTGCTTTTTTAGAAGACTACATTTACATAGTCAAAATGTCCTTTTGTTCAGCCTAAAACACATTTAATACCTATTGGGTATTAAATGTGTTTATTGAAGATTGAAGATTCAACTTATTGTCATTACGTAGTACAGGTACTATGTAACGAAACGGTTTCTCTGCATTTGACCCATCCTAGTGTTAGGAGCAGTGGGCTGCCATTATGTAGGTCCTGCCCTCTGGCCATACACTCACACAACTTCCGAATCTTCAAACGAGCAACATCTCTTTGTTTTATTGGACTGGATTTTTCAGATTCAAGTGAGTAAAATGCCTCAAAAAATTGTTTTTGTGATTATTACAATGTCTAGAACATGTACTGTACATATTTAGTTTTTGTGGAATACATTCATCAAATTTGATTTTGAGCAGCTTATGTCTTTGTTGCAATATTACATACCTGGGTCAGTGTGGTAGTCAAAATAGCATGTGCACCTTACACATGGAAATCGCCCTTCTTATATGTTCACATATGGAAATAAAGCACTAATAGAAATATAATGTCTTTGATAATTCACTATAACTAAGTTCTAAATGTGTCCTCTGTTAAGATGTTGAATTAAGACCAGAACTGAATAAATTATACATTATTTCTGATAGCAGTATGTGAAATTATATCTGTAGCAATATTTTAAACTCTACTTGTATCTTATCAGTTAATGAGTTACAAAAATACATTTAACTCTGGTTCTGGCAGAAACAGTTCTTTCTGAGAAGTGTTGGGACACTTGGATGTATCCCTTTTAGTATGAAAATTAGCCTGTTATCATTAGCCAGACAGCATTGTGTGACTTGTTGAACTGGTTTACCTGCATGTGTCGGTGTAGGTAATCCTTTTATTATGATAATAGGCTAAGCCAGGTATTGTGTGACTCAAGTGTACAATGTAAATACGTTTCAGATGCTTGTTGCATCGGGACACCTGGAAGGGCATGCATTCCTTTTAGTATGATAATAGGCTAGGCCAGACAGATGAACACTTGTCCCACCACCCTATCTATTCCTTCAGGTAATCTATTACAATATAATAAGCATATGTATTATTGATACATATTTATTAATTCATTTTTCCATTTCAGAATGCCACCAGCAAAGAGAGGTCCTCGATTCAGTGTGCAGGATGTGATGCCATCCAAAAAGGAGAAAGTGATTTTGAGATGGAATCAGAGGACAGTGACACTGCTATGAGTGAAGAAGAGGCAGATGCCTGTGGACAAGTGGACAAAGAAAACCAACAACCCAATGACCCCCCAGCCAGTGATTATGTGGACATCGAGCCCCAACCAAATAAACCAACACGTTCTCACTCCCAACCCGTCACATGTTGACGAACGGTCAGGGCCCCTCCCCGTCACTCTATTACGGACAGGGTACCCCTTGAGAGTCAGTTTTCAACGGGCAGGGAGTCCCATTGACTTGCATAGAGCTCCCTGAACGTTGTTAATAGACGAGTTGGGATCGCGGCAAAATGCTCTCCGCAGATCCATTCTCACAGCGTTTATCAACCTTTTTCTTACTCAATATCAAGCCACACTTATTGTTTTTACTTCTTTATTTTAATTGAATAATGGAGGACTTTTGTTGCCTTCAGTTATGGGGAGAATAGGGGCTCAGAATACTGAAATCTGTATTGTTTCCTCGTTTTTTCCTTCTAATTTTGTATTATTTTCTAAACCACACACTGTTATTTACTCAACAATAACACATAGTTATCCTTGTGTTTATTTATTTGTTTGATTAATATCACAAGTTGGAGTCCGTCAGGACCGAGGGTCGGATCAGCTCATTTGCTTTAGAGAATTTTACACCCGGAAGTAAGTATTCTCTCCGCTTCGCTTGACAAACCCTGTGATAGTCCTCAAGCTCTGTGATTGGAGAGTGTGCGCCGAGGGTTACGCAGAGCGTCGAACAGCACTTTGAAATGGGATGGAACCACGGCAGACTGTCCAAAACTGGATTTGAACGGGTCCACCCCGTCCCCCCCTCCCCCACCCCGTCCCCAGAACTACACATGCTGGCTATTGTGTGTTTCGTAACATGTTCTATGGCACGTCTCTGCTGGGAATTGTAGTTTTAAAAGACGTGTTCATATTTCCCATAATAAGAAGTTGCCAGTATTAAACTGTGTACATCCCTGGAGGTTTAGGGGATAGGAAACACTCACATTTAAAACATATAATTAATAAATGGGTGAAAATTGCTTGTGCCCATAATGGGCAGCATTAATACCACATGACAGCTAAGGTCAGAAGAGCTTTATTTAACAGCTGGTCTTATGTCTGTGACCCCTCCTGTTGTTAATTGATAAGCCTGAAACATGCACTTGTCAAGGTTCAGAGGCACATTTTGCGAATATGGCAGTAGCCATCGATCCTCTTAAGATAAGATATACTTTATTGATCCCAAGTTGGAAACATTTGCGTTACATCAGCATGTGTAACAGTTGTAAATATGCAGTGGAGTTTATTTGTAAATCATTTAGTATAATTACACAAATTCTGTGTTTTATATTTAATAATTCTGTGTTCTTTATTTATTGAATGTTCAATACCTGACGGGTCGGGGATTAAAAACTTGGGTCGCAGGTTCCTCAACAGTGCATTACAAGACATCTATCGATATGTGTGTATACCTCCACCATTAAACTGTCATATTCTGCACATTTCTTATACTATCTACATACATCTTATAAGAGTATAATACATATGTATAATATCAGTTAAAAATAAGTGCTTAAACATACAGTAGTTAACATTGCAGGAAAGCAATATATTAGTACTTTGTCAGGCTTAATATTTATACCCCCAAAGCTTTTTTCTTATTCAAAATAAGACCTTAACCTAAAGTATTCTTTAATGTTTAAATAAAGCCTTATTAGTTTGTCTGTCTGTGTCTCCTATTAATATCTAATAATACAAATAATACATTTCAATAACGTGCTTTAACCACCAGGTGTCCCTTTACAGATGTAGCGCTTCATTTCAGACAGTTTGAAACGCGAGGGCCGTGGCCGGCACGGGGTCTGCCCTCGCTCAAAGGAAAACCTCCAGCTTGACTTGAGACCTCCCCCGTGATAAATAAATGTAATTATTATGAAGCCAGCTGCAATGGATCATTGATCCACCAGGGGGTGCAGTGGGGTTCCACACTGGAGCTCATGTGAAATAAAGTCAGATGCTGGATGTACAGCGGAACTTTGTTGAGATCCATATGTCACGGATATCATACTCTGTGCTAAATAAGAGACATGTAATCATTTACAAAACATCACCATGTTGTTATTAAACAAAATAATGTTGTTTATTCGAGAAATAAACGAACGGGAGGAAATGCAGCCCGGCTCTCGATTTTTAATCCTAATTTAATCATCATCTTCACCACGATCATTTATGTTTATGTTCACCGAATTGACATGAAATCACTGACACATATGAATATACTGTATTCAACTTCATTAATACATTATTAACGTGCCTAAACTCAGTAATTCACTAAAAATATATATATTGTAATGGAGCCTCGTCGGCAGATCAGGATCCCAACGCGTAGCGGAGGGATCAGCATGAAGGGTGTTATTTTCCCCATAAGGAACAAGTC